AATTCTCGTACCGTATTTTTAGATGAAAAAGACAAAGCTATCAAAATATTTTTTGGGCATTGATCTGAAACCCAAAATGTGTCCTTTCGTTGTCCCCACCATCTAGGTTTGCCGGAGACCACTAGTTGTGTCTATAGTAGGAGGTGTCATATTTGGGTTTGAATTCACATCTTCTTGGTAGAAAATATTTCTTGCTATTTTATTTATTGTATTTGTTGAGGTACCATCGTAGTTGTGATTCGTCTGATTATTATTTTTTTACTGGAAATTGATCAAAAAATATGAGGTTTCGGTTTTGTGGCGAAGAAGATGACAATGGTAGGGAGGTTCTAGTTCAATATTATAACAGCAGATCTGAGAATGAGAATTTTTATTTTTCTAAAAGACTTTAGTATTTTTCTAAAAAAATGAGAATGCTAACACCAAAACATAAACAGACTTGCCGGCTTCAATGGGAGAGAAGAGTTGTTCATCCGAAGAGAAAGCAGTATCCTAAGGAAGAAGATGACAGTAAGAAGAGTTACGAAAAATCTTTTCTTTTTTGGCCTTTTTTTAATTTTTGACATGTCTCTTATTTTTGGGTTGATTTGTAATCTTTTAATTGGTTTGATTTGCCATGTCAAAAGAGTCCCCAGAAAGTGAAATGCACATAATGTTGGTTTGGAGATATCAAATTTGTGTTCAATAGGAACACTTTTGACATACTTTAAGTGCTTAATAGGAAAGACTTTCGGTTGAAGTGTCTACATGAAATTTCCCTACAACTTTAAGGGACTATGTATGCATTTGGCCTTAAAGAAAAGAAGCTATCGGAAAAGAACCTAGAGGCATTCTGATAGGCTAGCCTTCCTAGGATTCTTTAGTGTGAGGGTAAAAGAGAAAATAGGGGATCTGCTGAGAATGTGCCATTACTTTTAAATGATTTGTTGATACACCCATAGGGACTCTTGAGAGGTATTTCGAGTGGAGGTCAGTTTGGGAATGGAAAGAGAAGAAAACCCTAAGTTCCCTTATAAAATAACTCTTTCTCTTATTTTGATGGAGTCTGATCAGCTGCACATTAAGTTTTCCTCTGAAATTATCAATTTCTCTAAGAAGCTGAGACAATAAACAAAAGTTTGCAAAAATATTTTAGATACTGGAGAGATAAGAAGATCAAGACATGGTTTTGAATTTTTTTCTTGGTTTTTTGAGTGATAAACTATTGCTTTTTCTGGGTCTTAAAATGTTGAAAGTGGATTAGAGCTTGTGGCTACTGTTGTTGACTTTTGATTGTTGAGCTCCATCCTTATTGCATTTCTATGCTGTTTCTTTGTATTTTTCTGCTTACAACGTACTCTTTTCACCTAAAGAATGTAAAAATTCAGCCTGTTTCATGAATAAAAATGCATAACTTGCTAGAAATATGTTGTTTGATGCTAGATTTATGTTTGTGTAGGACTAATGAATACATACGTGATATTTGAATATGAATTTCACTGTTCTTTGATCTCCTAAACTTAGAGTTTGAATAATGTTTAATGATGTGAGCATGTTCGTTGTTTGGTTTAGTGGACTCTTGAATTAATAATTTACATATTTAACCACTTGCTGGTAAAACTTGTTAGTTTAAAATCAGAATAGTAGCTTGCTTTCTAGTAATCTCAAGATATTCGAAGATCAGTATGCATGAAGCTTGAAGAATATCTGGGGGGGG